TATATTATATATTATACATAAAATATAAACATATATTATATTGAGTAATGATCTTATGAGATTCTCCCACACCCCATGTGTGTAGGATCCCAAATGATCACCATTAAATTTGGCACATATCTCTAGAAAAGTTATCACATGGGTGTGAGACTTGACTTTTCTAGAGATCTATGCCAAATTTAATGGTGATCCTTTATAGTCCTATATACACAGGCGTGGGAAGGTCTCATAAGATCATTACTCTATTATATTATATTAAATATATTATATATCATGTAAATTTATAATAATAATTTAAATAAATATATTATATATAACATATATATTCGTATTATAATATAATAAATTATTTTATTAATATTTATTTGTATTATATAATATATATAATATAATATAATACAAATGCAAAATATAAATATAAGGAGAGAGGCATAATAGGGTTTGAGGAACCAAGTTCCTATTTTAAGTTATATCATTTTAGATGGAACTTTTTTTTTATTAAGCACAAGGGAGTTCTCAAACACGGAACTTGTAGAGTAATGGAGAAGTTCCTTCTTCCCCCCCCTGACTTCTTGTTATCAAACACACCGTACAAGTAAGAGTGACTCGTGTTGGAAGACGTAGTTACGGTATCAAAATCGTTATGATACTTGAAAATATATGTTCAACCCTAATTATGAAATTTAAAATTTCAAAAAATGATATAGATCAAGCAAATCTAGAAATAAACACTTGAAAATCTTGAAAATAGACAGTACATGTAAGTTGTTTAAGACTTAAAATTCGTTTTCTTTTTTTACATACATACATCTCGAGGTTGAGATGATCAATTCAGGGGTTTTTCAATGTTATAATGCTATTTTTAACTAAATATTTGAGATGCACCTTACTTCTATAATATAAAGTTGCAACCTTATTTATTATAGGCGTACAATTAACATAATGCTAAACTTAAGGGGTACAATTAGCATTAGAAACCCTTAAGGCTTGGGCTTAAAGGATAAGATTACCATTAGGTCACCTCATAACCTCTAAGAAAATGCAAAACTAGTTTGACTCTCAATCATGAAATTTTGATGCTTTTGTTCTCAATGAAGGTCGAAGCTTTGGAAATAATGTGCATAAAATTGAAAAATAGATAGCCCAAATAATATGTTAATATTTATAGAATTTAAAATCTATATTTTAATAAATACTTAATTAAATGTCAAGATATCAATCTGAATAAGCTTTGGTAGTCGGCTGGCTCTTATAGTTCTTCTTCAAGTTTTACGCAAGAGAAAAGATGTTTAGGGAGCATATGGTCCATTTACTCTCTTGAGTAAATCTCAATGTGTGACAATTTTTGGAACCCCTATTAAAGCTAGCGATGTATTATGTAATGATGTATACGCTGTCCGATTTTCAGCCAGCCAAATTTAAACCATAAACAACTCGAAATCTACTTTTTAAAATAAAGACACGTTTTTAATTCATTTAGAAATGAGGCGCCTCTAAAAAAAATTTATTTTTGAGATAAATTTTCGAATTTAATTTTTAAAGACATGTAATTTTTAACATGGAGATCATGAACATGAAAAAATAAATAAATTTTAAAAATTAAAAATAATAATTTTATTAAGAGAACATTTGGATCTTTAATTTCAATTATTTTCAGATAGATCAGCTATTTGCATCCATCTTCATGATAGATGTTTTACACTTTTAAAACGGAATCGTAAAAATGCGGTCTAGCCCGCTTGAAACAAATTTTCTTAAAATAATAATCTAATGAATTTACATCCCCAAACCTGTGAGAAATATACACAGTGTGTTCGCGCCGGAGCATAAAAAATAAGTTACTCAGTCAGCATCTGGAGGCGCAAAGTTATTCAATCGGTCAAAAGTGCGGAATCTGGAGGCACACGGCGAAGCACACGGTGTAGATTTGTGTTAAAAGGGTTTGTGAGAGGGAACAGAATCTTTTGGAAGTGACCCAAGAGGAGCCGCCACTTCTCTCTCTCTCTCTTCCCACTGATTCCGCTTTCGCTCTCTCTCTCTCTCTCTCTCTCTCTCTCT